GTGGCTGCCTGCGGCCAGCGCAGAGCCTTCCGCGCCCCCTGCGTCCCCACCGCCCAGCCCCTGGTGGCCTCGCCAGCGTCGGGGTCATAAGGCCATAGGCCTGTGACTGCTGCAGGGTCACGTTAAAGATGTCCACGGCGCGCTCGGCCCCCGCCTGCTGCAGCAGCTGATCGATGGCCGGGAAGGTGCCCAGCTGGGCCGCACTCTTGCTGCAAGTGACTCGGAGTTGGATAGGGTGGCGGGGAGGCAGCGGGGGACCCACCCGGCCGGAGGCTTGGGGGGCTGCAGGGCACTTGGTGAGCCAGCCGGCCTGGGCCCAGGCTGGAGTTAAGTCCCTGACAAGTGTCGCAGGCCTGGGAGGTGTCAGGGCAGAGGGAAGAGGGGACAGGGTGCGGGGGGCCGCCCTGACCCAGCCCCGCCGAGGCTTGGGGAGGTGACACCCTTCCAGAGAGGCGCCGAGAGGCCTCGCCCGCCCCCCAGGGCTTCCTCCAACAGCACCTGGAGTGGCTGAGCACTGTGCCCCGCTTCTCCGAGCCCCGGGAGCAGCAGTGGCCCGGGGCAGCGGGAACCGCAGCAGGGTGGAGGCGGGCAGCTCGGGTCCCCGCTCCCAGCTCGGAAACTGCAGACTCCGCACCTGCCTCTCCTTCCCGCTGTCCCCCTTGGGGACAGAGCCGTAGCATCGGAGCCAGAGCAGGCACGGACCCTTCCGCGCGCGTCCCACTGCCCACCTGTGTGCCGGGCCCCGGCTCCCAGCTCGGAAACTGCAGCCTCCGCACCTGCCTCTCCTTCCCGCTGTCCCCCTGGGGACAGAGCTGTAGCGTCGGAGCCAGAGCAGGCACGGACCCTTCCCTGCACGTCCCACTGCCCGTGGCCCCCACCCACCTGTGTGACCCTGAGCAGGGTGCAGGGCCAGCCCGCTGCGTCGCTCTCGGCCTCCCAGCGCGCTGTCACCGGGCCCGTGACAATGGGCTGCAGCTCCGTGGGCCAGAAGTCCTGTGGCCGGACCAGGTCAGGGCTGCTCAGGCAGCTCCCCCGGCTCTCTGCCCACCCTGGTCGGCGGCCACAGTACAGACGCCCTTCCCAATCCCAATCTGAAGCCTCCGCCCTCTGTCCCGCGGCCCCTCACCTCGTCGTGGGTGTCCGAGGGGCACAGGGAGCCCAGCACCTGGGCCCGGTGCTCCCACACCAGCTGCCAGAGCTCCTGGGGCCGGGCGGCGCCCATCAGCACCACGTGGTCGTGGCCCAAAAGCCCGCCCTGCAGAGCACAGCGCTTTGGCCCTGGACACTGAGTGACCCCGCCCACCCAGCTCCGGGGCCACGGGGCCGTCACGCGGGGAAGAGCCAGGCTTTGGGCATCTCATCAGGGGGGGCTCCCTTCGTTTTCCAGAGAAAACTACGCTGTTGAGCGGTCATCTGAGGGAGGACGACGGGAGGGTGAGGCGGCCAATGGTCCCGGCTAGGCCACAGGGCCCCCACCCACGCACCGCAGCCCAGCACTCACAGGCCGTGCTGTCCAGCTTGCAGCCAGGAGGGGGCGCCCCAGAGCCAGCCTCCGCCGGGATGGCCTGGAGCGGGAGCTGGGAGAGGGGCCGGGAGTGAGTGGAGAGGGGCAGGCCGCGCTGCTGGCCACCCAGCCGGCCGAGGCACACCTGGTACTCCTCCAGGAAGCTGGCGTTGGCACTGACTGCCCTCTTGGCACAGTCAGTGCAAAGTCGGTCACGGCCATGGGCTGGGTCCTGGGGCGGGGGCGGACAGGCGAGGGGGCGCTCTGGCTCCCTTTTCTCCTGACCTCATGGCCCACGCTCCCTCAGCCACGCTGGCCGGCCTCTCCTCACACCCGGGGCACACTTCCATCTCCAGGTGTTGGCACGGGCTCCTCCCCCTGCCCAGCTCACTCTTCCCTGTCACTGGGCTCAGCAGGCCGACCTTAGGATCCATCCTCCGTGACCATGAGGCAAACCTGTCCCAGCTAAACAAGCCCTTTTAAAATGCTTTCTGTCCATCTTTTTACTTGATCCGTCCTCTGTGCTGTTTCGTTTTTTTCTTTCTCTGCTGAGTCTCCTCAAGTCTCTTTCACAGAGTCCTCCTCAGGTCCCACCCAGCTCATTCTCCTTGTGACTCTGCATGATGATGTAAACCAGGCTGGTCCTCCAAAGTCCCCCTCCCCCGCTCTCCCCCCAGGAACCCTGCTGGACCTGCTCTCAGATCCCAGTCCGGAACTGACCGGAAGCCCCTGCTCCTCAGGCACAAACCTGTTCTTGCCCAGCTGTTTCCTGTCTCCTGAGGGTACCACCACCTTCTGCCCGGGGCCGCCACAGGATGGTCCAGGACGTAAAGTCATCCTGGACCATCTCTCCCCCTGGGTGATTTACAGTCACCCAGTCCTGGGGGGTGGGGGGTCACCTTCTGATGATGGAAGACCAGCGACAGATGTGCCTGTGCAGAGATTCATAAGTCACAATATAGAATTTTATTTAGAGGGAGTTGGGAGACATGGGTTTTGAACAGAAGGGATATAGTCTGACTTAGGTTTTAAAAGGATTGCTTTGGCTGCTGTGTGGCGAACAGACTTTAGTGGGCAAGGGACGAGGCATGAAGGCCATCGAGCAGGCTGTGGGGCAACAGTGAGAGACGATGGTGGCAGTGGAGGTAGGAAGAAAAGCTGGAGTTTGGGATGGATTTTCAAGGTGGAGACCCTAGAGCTTGCGCGAGACATGGACTGGGGTGGAGGGCGGGGCGATGGGAAAAAAGAACGAGGAATGATTCGGAGGTTTCGGCCAGAGCACCAGGGAGGATGATGGGGCCATTTAGTCGCGGGTGGGGGTGGGGGGACGGCCAGAAATTCCATTTGGACATGTTAGGTCTGAAGTCGCTGTTAAGCGCCTTCTCCTTACTTACTTCATGGACCCCGGGCTGGGTCAGGAGCCTCCTGCGGGCTCGCAGAGCCACTGCTGTGCCTCCGTCCCCGCCTGACCACGACTCGACCTGTCACGGTGACAGGCCCGACTCTCCCACTGCACTGTGAGCTCAGGAAAGGCAGGGGCTGGGTCTGCTCTGCCTCGTCCACCATTGTCTTCCTCCACGTCGCACAGGGCTTGGCGCACAGAGTAGTCGGGCTGTAAATAACCGTAGGACGAGGGGACAGTAAATGCGCCCGGAGGACAGCACGCGGACCCCTGGGGTGCCCCTGGATGGAGAGTGTGTCACCTATCAGATGGAGGTTCTAGGGCAGAGTGGGAGCCTCCCGGACGTACCCAGCTGGAGGCGGGGGACAGGAGATGGTCGAATCCCGACCTGGGGGAGGGGGTGGACCGGCAAGAGACAGGCGGGGCCGCAGCGTCCGAAGTGGGGATCCCGGCCAGAAGGCCTCGGGGATACAGGCGTTGGGAAATCACACAGGCGAGTCACCACCCCCAGAGACCCTTCACTCTCAACGCAGCACCGCAAGGGCCCGACCGCCACGGGAGGAAATACTCACCTGGGCGGAATGGGGTGCTGGAACCTCCAAACTGCCCGACGCGCGGAAGCCTGGCCCGGAAGTGGCTCGCGAGACTACGACTCCCACAAGGCCTTGGGGCTGTCTCGCCTACGGCTCCCAGAACCCCATGCAACAGCTCCGCCGGAAGTCCGTTCGGCCTACAATTCCCAGCAAGCCCTGCAGCCCCTTCTGGAGCTCTGCCTACCTCCCGAAAGCAGTGCGCGGTTTTTCTCTCTGCGCTGGCTCGGTACGCGGCCGAGCTGTTACGCCTTTTGCCGCGTCAGCGCGCTGTCACAGTGCCGGACGCTTGAAAGGCGGAGTGGCCGTATTCGGGTTATCTGCTTCTGTGGGGTTATAGGCTTTTTAAGGGAGCACAGGGCATACGATTTCTGTCCTTTAAAGTGGGATTGCGAGTGAAAATTGGAGGTGGGAGTGCGGGGGTTGGTTGCAAGGGTAAAGGGAGGAGACGGCGCACGCACAGGGCAGAGATTCCGAGCGTGGGGGCTCGCGGTGGGTTTATGCACCGTGCCCTGCAGGGGTAGTAGTGGTGCTTGTGAGCGTGTCGGTGGGGGGAGTGTGTGAGCCGTGTGTGAGCAGTGTGCGAGCTGTCTCTGCGTGTGCATCAGCCGTTAGTGATTGTCGGGAGGGATGGGGGAGGAGTGAGAGGAGGTCTCTGCACGTGCGCCTGGCTCTGGGTAGTGAATGAGATTGAGATCCACTGCGCGGGCTTCGGCCAGTGAGCGGATATACGCTTCCTTTCACGTCGAGGTGGAGCTGGAGGAGGGAGGACAGGTGAGAGAGGTCTTGACGGGAGCAGGAGACCCTAGAGACCCCAGAGACCCCAGCTTCCAGGACGAGGGGTCTAAAGGCTCAGGCCCCTAAGGCCCAGAGTCATGGAGGCCCAGAGTCGTGGAGGCTCGGTTCCAGTAACCCAGGGGCCTGGAGACCCAGACCCTCTAGACGGTCAGGCCCAAAGGCTTAGACCCTCCCCCCAACCCAGAAGCCTTGAGGCCTGGAGACCCAGACCCCCAAGATCCAAGGCTCCAGACGCAACTTTCTCTCCCCAAAACCCAGGAACTTGAAGACTCCGGCCCCCTCCGATGGCCAAGGGCCTTGCGGACCCCTGAAACTGAAATCTGGGGCCAGAGCCTCGGAAATCCCAGAGCCCAAGGGTCTGCGGGTCTGTGGTGAGTGATGACATGGGGGACATGACTGGCACTGTGTGGTCCAGTTTTCTTTATTAGGGGAATTACGATGCCTCAGTTTCAGATTGGAAGACCTTGGTGAAATCACTCCTAAGGGCCATCATGGCCAGTTCTGGTCATCACTGGCTCACTGGTTCATTTGTCCAATGGTCATTTCCTGAGGTTTCCCTGTGCCAGGGTCTGGCGGCACAAATGAGGTCACCGAACTCTGGGAACTCAATCTCAGTCACTGCCAGCCTGAGCGTCAGGAAAGAAAAACTCATCCCGAGGTTACTAGGCACTGTGCTCAGAACTTTACGTGTATCGTCTCAGTTGATCATCTGTAAAATGGGAGTGACAATAGCAATATCTGACTCATAGGAGTTAAACTGTGGAGTCAAATTGAATGAACAATACCTATCAAGAGTTTAGAACAGAGGTTCCGGTCAAGAGGGCAGAGTGGGTGGACGCTGCGCTCATCTCCTCCGTGACCGCATTAAAATCGCAATGAAAATATAGAACGATCAACCTGGAGAACCACCTGAAGACGAATTAAACAGAAGTCCTATAACTAAGGCTATAAAGAAGCCACCCTGAGGCTGGACGTTACAGTAATTCTCCAATAAAAAAGTTTAGAACAGTGCCCAGAAGATAGTACATGCTTAATAGATGGCTGTCCTCACCCCATTTAATTTCTTATAATGTTAATGTTATGATGTCACATCTGAGGTGGTACCTCTACAATTCTTACTTAATAGCTGAAGAACTGAGACTAGAGATAAGTCCCTTCCTTGGACTGCCTGAATCCAAAGCAGGAGTTGGTTCGCTTTTTCTGTAAAGGTCCAGGTAGCAAATATTTTAGGCTTTGTGGGCCATAGGGTCTCTGTCCCAACTCTGCTGTTACAGGATGAAAGCAGCTCCGGACACCGATGGAAATGAATGAAGGGGGCTGCATTCTAATAAAACTTTATCGATGGACACTGAAATTTGAATTTCATGTAATTTGCGTGTGTCAGGAAATCTTTTCATCTTTCCCCCAACACCAAAAGTGTAAAACCATTCTTAGCACGTAGGCCGTATAAAAACAAGCAGCAAGCCAGATGTGGCCAGAGCGGTCTCCATGCTGTGCTTCCTCCTGGGCTGTGTGGCTACACCTCCCAGGATGCAGAGAATTCGAGGGCTGGAATGGCCTTCTAATCAAGGAACCAGCCGAGCAAAGAAAGGTCCAGTGGCAGGAAAGTATGGAATGTATTTCATTTTAATAGAATTTACGTTCTCTAAACAGGTTAGGCACTTACATGCTATAAAGTGAAAAAGATATGACAGCATCTACAGTGAAATCTCTAGCTGCCTGGCCGTTTAGTTCTCCTCAGAGGCAGCCTCTCTCCTGTGACTATCTCATTCCAAATCGGGGTGCACAGTGTCCCCATAATTCTCCACTCTGAGGCCAGGGTGGGAGTGGGATGTCTGGGGTCCCGGAGACAGCATGAGAAGACCCCTCATTCCTCAGCCCCCTGTTTCCGGTTATTTTTCCTCTCTCCCTGTCCCCTAAGACAACCTCTCCGTGGACACCAGTGGCCTCTTCACCCACAAATAAAGGGCTACTTTGGGCTCCCTCTACTTTTTTTTTTTTTTAACTCTCTTTATCCAGCCTGCAAAAACCTACCCTCTCTGGTCCTCCCACATTTCTGGCCAAACTATATCAATCAATCCACCAGGAGGCTTGTTCTCCACAATTCTGTCTTCTCTGCAAACTTCTTAAATGAGCGCAGTGGCTGCAGTTTTCATCTCTGCCCTGACACCTCGCCAACAAGGACATGCTGAAGAATCCCTGTGCATGAACTCGGAAGCAGAGAGAAGCATACGAGAACGCCAGCTCACTGCTTGTCCTCTCCCCTTAGGCTGGCCACACATTTTCACCATTCCAGGTCGTGGATCCCATAGTTAGGAGGTCAGAGCCCCCTCTCGGGGCGCGGCAATGGTTCCAGCTCTACTTCAGCACCACGGACAGCGCCACGCTGCTGCCCGGCGCCCGCCAACCGGGTCTGCGATCTATCTATCTTGGGAGGACAGGCATCCGCTTGTTCGTTGAGCCGCCTTCATCGCATCCAGACCAATTCGTTCAAGGTACGGCTGGCAAAGAAGGGAGAGTTCACGATATCGTAGCAAATAAGGGATGTGGACAGACGCCTTGTTTTTAAGGCATCACCCCACAATGCTGGGGGTCTGGCACCAACTAGTTGACGTATGATGCTTGGGAAGCTTGTGTGATCGTAGAAAACCATCTCCTATGAGTGTGGGGCCTGGACTCCTAGGACCCTGAGCACAAGGAGGAGTCCGAGGAGAGTTTCAAGGATGCTCGATGCCTGGGGACCAGACTGAGGAGAGGGACAAGAGAAATTGCAGAACCCAACTTCTTCGCTGTTTCTGTGGCTCTAGAGGTGAGCAAAAGTCAACACCTATTATACGCTTCACCACCGAAGAGGGAACTATTACATTTCTGTCCCAGATACTCCATCACCCTGGACATCATGCCTTTCAAGAACATAGTACAAGTAAGAAAAAAAATCTTTCCTCTTTGGGACTAGATGGGACTGGAGTCTCTCCTATTACACAGCAGAGGTGGATTCCCAAGTTTACGTGGTGAGAAGGAAGAGGTCATACATGGGATGTTCTCATTCTCCCACAGTCAGGTTTCTGCCCACAAACCTTCGTGATTGAAACGTGTGGACTCAGGAGCTCCACTGAAGTCCCCTCAGATTTCACAAGCTAAAGCCTTGGGGAGCCCAAGAGATGGGGGCATCAGCACCAAGTTTTCAGAAGATAGTTTCCATGCTAGCGAGGAACCTCCACAGGGCTTCTGAACTTGTCCTGGAGCCCACAGCTTCTCTGGGAAAGGGAGATCAAACACTGGTTCTCGTTGAGTAAATGTATCTCTAGTTAATGGATTGCAAGTGCTTTCACGGACATTCTTTGCCGTAGGGAAAAACCACAGGCTTTAGAATAGGAGGAACTTGGATCCTGGTTTCTCCACTAAGAGGGTGATAATTGGAAAACTAGTCACCTTACCTCCCTGTGCCTCAGTTCTCTGCTCTGTAGAGTGGGGGGCGGGGGATAATAATCCTCATATCACAAAGATGTTTTGATGCATGTGGAGCACTGTATACGGGTCCTGGTACGAGGTGCATGATTATTGTGTGCAAGTTCCTTTTCCCTTGAAAATGCAAGCTTCTGTTGGCGACTCGTCCTGATGCTAAGAGTGCCAAGTAGTGTCATCATGGGTTAAATGAACACATGACATTTAAATAAAAGGAGCTAAACTTCCACCGCCAGCAACATCCAAACCAGGAAGTGAATAAAACATCACACCATGCACTTCTAAATGGGGTCAAGTGGAAAGAAGCAGAAGTTTGTAGCGTGGCACTGGAAACTGCCTAATCCTGATTGGCTGCCTCTTCTCCAGGAACAGGAATATAGGGCAAATGTCAGGCTGAGAGAACTGTGAGAATGTGCACTCAAATTGCCCAGTAGACACAGTCTCACTCACACGAGTAGAAAAACCTGGATAAAAAAACCAATGGGAAGATTTCCAGGGGAGGAGCCTTATACATCATTGGTTCTGTGTCTGAGGGTCCCCTGCGCTTACTACCGTCTTCGGTCACACTGTTCTGAGCTGAGGTTCAAGCACAAACCCAGTGTAAGATATACCTCTAAGTTTGTAGAGAGGATCCCAGTGAAGTTTGGAGTCTCAGAAAAGAGAGTGGAAATCCTGGATGCCAGGAGGCATGTGCTGAACCCCATCTG